AAATTACCAATTTCCCTTTCATCATGTCTTCGCTTGTACTCGTCGCTTTTTACCGTTACAAAAATCCTACACACATATCTATTCGGGCCAATACTCTTGAGCCACTGAGCTTGGTTTAAACATTTTTTAGCAGCCGCTGATATTTTTTTGGTTGTTAAATTTTTGCATTTTACTTCTGCCAATTATTTCGGCACACAAACATATACACACACACGCACACATATCGCCAGCATTGCTTTGCATGTGTACTTTAAAGCTAATGGAAAGTTTGTGTGCGTGTGTGTGCGTGTATATGTGTGGGTGTGTGTGTGAGTGTGTGTATGAGAGGAGTGTAAGCCTCAGCGCGACTTTAATATTTTCAATTTAATACAAATACCATTACATCTTGCAATTTTCTGCCACATACACACCGTGTCATAATAATAGCTGCACCACATATTGACAAATTTTAATTGTTTTTAATTTTAGTTGTTTTTAAAATAAAAATTTAGTTTATTCCTTGACAAAAGCCGTAAAAACTTTGTGGAATATTTAAAAAAAATTCAACAAACTTTTGTAAAAATGTTTTAATTCGGTTTCGTAGAAAGATTTTAGGTATGCAGTTTTGCAGCGAATTAAATTTTAGTATAATAAAGTGCAAGTTTGAAGCAGTTAGGATATACCGTTGATTTTTGGCAATTTTGTTTTTTTTTTTTTTTGTTGATGGTGTTGCTCAGTTTCTTGCATAAAATGATATATCGTCGAACAAAAAAATTGCCAAAAATCGACGGCACATCCTAGCTACTCTAAACTTGCACTTTGCTACACTAAAATTGAATGGGCTACAAAACTGTATACCAAAAAATCTTCTAAGTAATCTTACATTTTTTTTAATATTGCACAAAGTTTGAAACTTGGATTTATATCCTTTTGTTGAAGAAAAAACTATATTTTAATAACAAATAACTTGAATTAAGTAATTAAAAAAAAAACAAAAATTATTTAAAACCTCTCAATATGTGGTGCGCTTATAATTATGCCACGAAGTGTTTAGTATAATAATTCACATAAAATAAATAACTTTTTTTACTCATATGTAGTTGGTTATTACTTACAAAATGGTGGCGAATGCGACCAGAGTCCAGTCTCTGTGCATATGATGCTTGGCTCGCCGATCAGCGTGTGTCCCTCGTTGCAGCTGAATGTGACCAAAGCGCCGACAGTGAGACGAC